CCGTGTTTAGATCTCCATCCTGGTCCCCATTCCCCGTCCCTATTCCTCTCCTGGTGCCTGTTCTCTTCCTGGTCCCCATCCTGGTCCCTGTCCCCACCACCTTCTTTGTCCCTGCTCTGTCCAAGTGTCCAGCTTGGTCATGGTCCTTGTCCCTTTCTCAGTCTTGGTCCCTGCTCCCTGTCACTGTACCTCTCCTCATCCTGGTCTGCATCCCCATCTCCATCTCCATCCCCCTGGCCGCTATACCTGTCCCTGTCCCAGCACTCGTTCCTGTCCCTGTCCTTCTCCCAACCCTTGTCCCCTGTCCCCATCGCCTCTCCCTGTTGTTATCCCGACCCTTGTTCCGATCCCTGTCCCTGTCCCTGTCCTTGTCCCGATCCCTGTCCCAGTCCCCAACCCGATCCCTGTCCTTGTCCCGATCCCTGTCCCAGTCCCCATCCCGATCCCTGTCCTTGTCCCGATCCCTGTCCCAGTCCCCATCCCGATCCCTGTCCCTGTCCCCGTCCCCATCCCGATCCCTGCCCTTGTCCCGATCCCTGTCCCAGTCCCCATCCCGATCCCTGTCCTTGTCCCGATCCCTGTCCCAGTCCCCATCCCGATCCCTGTCCCAGTCCCAGTCCCGATCCCTGTCCCAGTCCCCATCCCGATCCCTGTCCCAGTCCCGATCCCTGTCCCGGTCCCCATCCCGATCCCTGTCCCAGTCCCCATCCCGATCCCTGTCCCAGTCCCGATCCCTGTCCCAGTCCCCATCCCGATCCCGGTCCCCAGTCCCGATCCCTGTCCCAGTCCCTGTCCCGGGCCGGGCTCTCGGGCTCCCCCTGCGGGCGGTGGGTGGCGCTGCGGGTCCTCCCCGGCGGCAGGGGGCGCTGCGGGGCGCGGGGCGCGCAGCCATGGCGGCGGTGCGGGCGGCGCTGCTCGCCCCGCTNGCAGCGCGGCCGCGGTGCCCGGCGGCTCGTACACGCTGCGCGGGGCCGTGCTGGGAGCGGGGGGCGGCCGGGCCGGGCCGGGCCGGGGGGGCCCGCGGGGGGAGCGGGAGGAGATGGAGATCCGAGGCCGCCTGGTGCTGGTGAGCGCGGGGAAACGGCGAGCGGGGCTGGGGGGTGCTGTTGGCACTGGCGAGGGATTGGGAGGGAGAACTGGGAACTGGAGGGCACTGGGAGATACTGGCGGGGCAGGGGGCAGTAAGGGAGGGAGGGGGACTGGGGGACACTGGGTGACACTGAGGGGTGCGGGCTGGGGACGTGGGTGCTGGGTGGCAGTGATGAGGGGGAAGCAGTGGCAACTGGGAGACATTAAGAGACCAGGGGACATTGGCAGGGCAGTGGTCAGTGGGAGGGAGGGGGGCACTGTGGGCCAGTGGGTGCTGGGGTGGGTCCTCGGGCATTGGGAAAGGAATGAGGCAGGGTAGGAGTGGGAGCTGAAGGGCACTGGGAGGCACTGGAGGATTGGTGGGGAGGCCAGAGACACTGGGGGACTGGCCAGGGCAGGCAGCCACTGCTCGGGTGTGGCCAGCAGCACAGAGGAGGTGCAGGCAGGGGCACGGAGGCAGTACGGGCCAGGCCGTTTTCCCTGTGTTACCCCAGCTGCTGTCCCTGTCCCCACACTGTGCCCGACTCCTCAGGACCCCTGGGGCATGGAGGTGCCTTGGGGGTGCCCTGAACCTTGGGGTCCATCCCAGCTCTCCCTGTCCTTGCAATGTCTCCAGGTGGGTGATGTGGAGCCGGAGCTGAGCGCTGCTGACAGCTGGATCGGGGTGGTGCCGGTGGGCACCGAGGAGCCGGCTGAGGGCCCCCGGGGTGCCAAGGAGGAGTCCTTCACCACCGCCGTTGTCACCAAGGTGATCCTCTGTGTGACCCTGTCTCCTCTGCCTGGCCCTGTCACCTGCCTGGCCTGAGGGCTGCTGTGGTGTTTGCAGGTCACAAACCCACAGGGGTGTTACCTTCGGTGTTTCCTGGCCAGGCCTGAGGGGTCCTGGTCTGTGCTTAGTGGCCAAGGGATCTCTTGACAGCCTCTGACCCCTCTTGGGTCCCTTCTGACCCTTCACCGTGGCAGAGAGGTGCTGGGTGCTTCCTGCAGCAGGACAGGAGCTTGTCAGGGACACAGCCCTGCTGTCCCCTGATCGTGTCCCCACTGTCCCTGCAGATGAAGCGAGCCCTGGTGCTGGGGGCCTCTGCCCTGCTCATCCTGGCGCTGAACCAGAACGCCATCCGTGAGGTAGGGCAGTGCCGGTGGCGGGGCCGGGCGGGGGCCGTGCCCCGCTGACCGCTCCGCTTCCCTCCCGCTGCAGCTGGACGTGTCCCAGCTGCTCGCCAAGCCCGTCATCGTCATCCAGTCCTCGGACAATGTCACCAGGCTGCTGGGAGCGCTGCTGCGGTACGGCCTGGGCTGTGGGAGGGGCTGGAGCCTGCCTGGTCCCTGCCTTGTCACTGCCTTGTCCTTGTCCCCCAGCAGGCTGCAACACCCAGGGACCACCCTGGGGGTCTCTCACTCAGCCCGTCATGTTTGCTGGGGTGGTGTTGGGCCATGCCAAGGCCAGCTGGGGCTGAGATGTGCTTCTAGGGGAGATCTGGGTCAGATCCAGCCCTTCCCCAGGGCTGGAGCCCTTCCATGGGTCCCCATGTAGTGGCAGGTGGCCTCAGCCAAGAGCTTTAGGACTCTTAGTAGAAATTTTCCAGACCAGTTGGTTCTTGTCATGGCACTGCCATCCCCACAGCCTCTGGGTGTTGGTTCTCACCACCATCAGCAGTGGGCCCCTGTCTATCCTCCTGACATGTGGGACATTGGGATTGCTGCCAGGGTGTCACATATGGGGAAACTGAGGCACAAGGTTGGGAGGAAGAGCCCTGTGCAGGGTCACTGAGGGCTGGGCACAGCTGGGGAGGAAGTGTCTTGCTGCCACCTCCCCTGCACTTCCTCTAGTCCCCCTAAGTCACTGCCTGTCCCTGTGGGGAGGGGGTGCTCCCTGGCACGGGGGAGCTGTGCCCGAATCCTGCTGTGTCCATGGAATTGACACTTTTCTCCTTGCTCACAGTGGGCTTCGGGCTACGGCGAAGATCACGTACCAGGCAGTGCTGCTGGAGAACCTGGTATGTTTGTCTGTCCTCCTCTTCCTCATTCTGCCAGTGGGAGAGCAGGGCATGACTTGCCCAGCCAAACTTCTCCAATCCATGGGAAGCAGCTGCAGGGAGCAGGGAAGGGAAGGGAACCCATGGGAACAGAGCAGCTGGCAGCACCAGTGTTCCTCCTCCCGGGACACGTGTGCTCGCGTCGCTGGACGCTGCTGTGGCCATCAGCAATGCCGTGTCCTGCCTTGCAGGGAGTGACCCTCACGCTGTGGTCCACCTGCGGCCTGTCCCGAGGGGGCCTCTACGGGGAGTGGCAGGGGGTCATCTGCCCCGGGGAGAGCAGCTCGCAGGTCCAGGTACGGCACTGGGCTGCCAGTGGGGCCGGGAGCGGGGCTGGGAGCGGGGCTGGGAGCGGGGCCGGGAGCAGGGCTGGGAGCGGGGCCGGGTCTCTGGCTCCCGTGCCCACGGCGCTGTCCCCACAGAAGTACCTGCAGCAGCTGTGGAACACCATCCTGCTGATCGCCCTGCTGCTCTGCACCGGTGTCATGGTGCAGGCGCAGCGCCAGTCACGGCAGGACCTGTCGGAGCGGGATGCCGAGGTGGGAATGTGGGAATGTCTCTGCTGTGCGCCGTGCTGGGGGGTTTGGGGTGGGCTCTGACCCTCGGCTCTGCCCCGCAGCTGGACCTGAAGCAGCACATCCGGCGGCGGCTGCTGGCACTGAAAACCCGGCGGTACCATCCTGGGAAGCCGCCCCGGAGCCGGGCCTGTGAGATTGACAGCTGTGCTGTGTGTCTGGACCAGTTCCACAAGAGCCAGGTGGGACTGGAGCCCACCCTGGGCCGAGCCTCTGGTCACTGGCTGGGGCAGGGTGTCCCTGCCAGGGTCTGGGCTGTGTCCCTGCCACCCAGCTGTGCTCACATGTGCCCTCACTTCCCTGCTGGCAGTGGCTGCGGGTGCTGCCCTGCTCCCATGAGTTCCACCGGGACTGTGTGGATCCCTGGCTCCTGCTGCAGCAGACCTGCCCTCTCTGCAAGCGCAACATCCTGGGTGAGAACCGCCCTGGCACCCAGCTGAGGCCCTGCTGGCCCTGGGGCACAGCCTGGGGAGGACCTGGAGCCTGCCAGACTCCCTGTGCCAAGCTGTCTGTCTTCCTTTGCAGGGAACTGCTGCACAGACAGCTAGCTGGCCTGAGGACACACTCCAGGGACAGACCCACGGCTGCTCCAGGGACAGGGAGGGAGCAGGGGGTGCCCAGCGGGTGGCACTTGCTTCCGGAGCAGGATTGGTGTGGCTGTGCCCATCACAGTGCCCAGACTTTGGAGAGGGAAGGACTTTGGCCTCTCCTGCTGGGTGTGAGTAGAGGGGTGGGGGGTCCAGATGGGCAGTGTTGGGGAGGGAAGATTTGGGGCACCTATGGGTGTAACGGGGTGGGGGCTGGGGCGGGGAGAGCCCTGGTCCTGCTGTGCTCTTGCCCTGCTCACAGCAATTTTTCTAAGTCTTGGGTTTTTTGTCTATTTGCTGGTGGCCGTGGCAGGGTAGGCAGAGCCTGGCTGCAGTGCCAGCCCCTCTGGGAGGTGGGTGACAGACCCAGGGCTGGGACTGGCAGGGCTGTGGGGTGACTCACGGCCTCACTGTGGGAGGGCAGGGGTCGGATGCTTTATTTATAATAACTTATTAGAAAGGATGGCACGAGTCAGCTGCAGAGCCAGCACAGGGCTCGGCTCACCAGCACGGTCACTGGGGACACACTGTAGGCCCCGCCCCACAGGCTGCAACATGGCACATGTCCATCCCTATTAAACATGGAGCAAGGGCTGGCTGTGTGGTTTGTGTGGGGCTTGCATGGGGCTCATAGTGCTGGGGATGCAGCTCAGAGGTCAGGGCCAGCCTGTGCCAGTGACTCGGCGGTTCCCAGCCCCTCGGTGCTCATGGAGGGGGGAATAACTTTCCCAGGTTATGCCTGTGCTGGTGGGCTGAGGGTGGTTCAGACTCCTCTCATCCCAGGCCAGCTCAGCTTTCCTCTTCCAAGTGTGGCCACATCCCAGTCCCCTCTTGGGAATGGTTCCTGGCAGGAGCTAGCACACGCTGTGCCCTGGCATCAGCCCCAGGGCTCTTCTGAGGACTCCAGCAGCAGCGTAGCCATGAGCGACTGATCCCAGTGCCCAGGAACGTCCCTAAAGCAGCTCCCCAAGGAACCAGGCAGAGCCCAGGTTTCCCTTCCTGACGCACAAAGAACAGGTAACGAGGTCCCCTGGGCAGGGCAGGTGGCTGCTGGTGGAACAATTTCTCTGTCAGGAAATTCAGACTGATCCGTGTTTATTTGCGGTGAGCCCCGGTGTGGAGTGAGGGGAGGCCAAGCCCCAGGCGTCGCACTGGGAGCGTGAGGCACGGTTTGGCCTGGGGTGTGGGCTCTGCCCGGAGTTTCTTGGAGTGCTGGCTGCTGGGAGCTCTGTGCCAGGCCTTGTCAATGCTTCCTGACATTCCTGTGCTGTCCCTGCTGCTCCCGCTGCTGAGCCGCCTGCAGGGTGGAAGCAGTCAAAGGGGAGGAAGAGCAGGGAACCCGCCCCCAGCTCCTTCCCCTGGGTTCCTACTCACCCAGTGTCCTCCCTGCTGGCCTCCCTGTGGAGCTGGGACCCCAGCTGGGCCTGTGGGACGAGCTGGGGAAAGGAAGAGGAGGTGAAATTTCCCCCCAACCAGCTTCAGCTCCAATCACACCCCTTGGCCATCACAACTGGTGGCACTATGGCCACAGGCATGGAAAGGAGCTGGAACCAGCCCTGGGCACCTCAGGCAATGCCAGTTAAACCAGAGCAACCTCCCAGCAGCATGAGGAGCTTGGGCTTGGCCCTCCTGGGGTCCCCATAGGATGTCTGGGGGCCATGGGGTAGTTTTGGGATACACAGCACCCACCCCTGTGGCAGCCAGCTCACCTTGAGCACGCCCTGCTCAGCTGCTGCCTTCACCTTGGCGAGCAGAGCCTCGAGCTGCGCGTTCTCCCGCTCCAGCACCTCGATCCGGATCTTGTTGGCCTGGAGCTGACTCTTCATGTCCTCTGTAAAGTTCCCACTGCCTGCAAACAAAATCCAACAGAGCCCAGCCTGCTGCTGCTGCCTGTCTGCTCAGAGGCGTGGGCACCTCTCCTGCTTGCCCCGGGCAGGGAGCAGCAGCACAGCCTGGGAGGTGACAGCTGGGACCCCAAGCCCTGTGGGCAAAGGAAGCTCTGCCATGTCCTGGTCCTGCTCTATGTGCTGGCCCTGTGTGGGATGCACAGTACCCCTGCAGGGAAGCACGTTGGGATGGTCACAGCTTTGCACGGGGTCTGAGCCCTTCCTGGGTATCAGTGGGACAAACGGAGTGTCTGGGGCCAGCAGGATCCCCTGGGAGCTCTGGAGACCCCAAGGCACAAACCCACTGTGCTTCCATCTGCTCCCTTACTCTCAAACGGCGTCTCAGTGGGCGTGTGGAGATCGGGGAAGAACACCAGGAGCCTTTCCCGCTCCCTCAGCTCCTGTGCCTGTTCCTGCAGCCGGGATGTGTTTGCCTGCAGCTCCAGGATGGATTGCTCCAGTGCCAGCTTCTCCTGCTGCAGCGTGTCCAGCAGCTCCTGCGTGGCACAGTGGGGAGGAGATGAAGTTTGCAAGAATGAGGATTTGGTCTCTCATGGAAAAGCTCCCACTCTTCCCTGATGATAAGGATGTCCTATGGCAGTTGGAAGTGGACAATGTGCAGGGTTTTAGCTGTGAGATCCCTGGAACACCAACCACAAAGTGTGCAGTGTGTCCAGGTGTCAAAAACCAGAACACTGGAGATGTGATAGCACCTCAAGATGTCCTTTCCTGCTGCTCTCCTCTGACCTGACTCAACCAGAGACTCATATGGCAGAGGGTGGAGGGGGAGGCCTCTTCCCCAGGGAATCCCATGAGGTTGTGGCCATGTGGCAATGTCACCCTAGGTCCCAGAGTATCCCTCCTGGGAAAACTGGCTGTGGGTGTGGGTGTGGGCAGGGCAGCGTGTGGCTCCTGACAGCCCTGTGGCACAGGCTGTGTCCCACACCTGGGTACCAGCACTCACCTGCTGTGCCTGGAGCTGTTTCCCACTCTGCTCCTGGCTCTGCTCCAGCTGCTCCACCAGCCGGGCCTTGTCCTCCTCGGCCTCTCCCAGGCTGGCCTGCAGCTCCTCACGCTCCTGGTCCAGGCTGTCCAGCTGCTGCAGCAGGGTCCTCTGCTTGGCCTGCAGGGACTGTGGTGGGGGGTGAGCCTGTGTGGGGCTGTGGCACCCATTCCTCACAGCCCTGACAGCAGCAGCAGCTCAGCTGTCCCACGGCTCCGGAGCCAGCCATACCTCCTCGTGCCGGAACATGCTCTCCACACGGACCTTCTCCTTCTCCAGCTGCATGCTGCTGGCACTCAGCTCCTGCTCCAGGCTGTCCCTCTGGCCTGTGAGCACCTGCACCTTCTCCTCTAACTCCAGCACCTGGCTCTGGGCCACCATTGTGGTCCTCATCTCCTCCAGCAAGGTGGTCTTGGAGAGCTCTGGGAAGACACAGCCACCATGGCCCAGGCTGGGCAGGGGAGAGAGGCTGGAGGACCATGGATATGATGAGAGGGATGGGGGTGCTCAGCCTGGAGAATAGAAAGCTCCAGAGAGAACTTAGGAACCCTTTCCAGTGCCTAAAGGGGCTCCAAAAGAGCTGGAGAGGAGCTTGGGACAAGGGCCTGTAGTGACAGAATTAGGGGCAATGGCCACTGCCAGAGGGCAGGGTTAGATGGGACAGGGGGAAGAGATTATTTCCTGGGAGGGTGGGCAGGCCCTGGCACAGGGTGCCCAGAGAAGCTCTGGCTGCCCCTGGATCCCTGGCAGTGCCCAAGGCCAGGCTGGATGGGGTTTGGAGCAGCCTAGGACAGTGGAAGGTGTCCCTGGCCATGGCAGGGGGTGAAATGGGATGGGCTTTAATGTCTCTGCCCATGCAAACCAGTCCATGATTCTGTGGTTCAGGGGCACCCCATGCCCTCCACAAGCCCTGGCAAAGGGAGGCAGGTCTGACAGGAGGCCTGTGACCCCTCAAACCTCCACCAGCATCATCCCACTCTGGCACTGGGTGATGCTGGGGTGCTGCTGTGAAGGAAGCCCATCCTCTGCCCATCCCCACAGCTCTACAGCTCAGTCTGGAGAGTGCTGGGGGCTGCAGGGGTGTGAAACACTCATGAGGCCAGGTGAGCTGGCTGAGCCCCTGGGTGAGCCCCTTACCCAGCTCCTGCACAGCCACCTCCTTTGCTGCCAGCTCCTCCTTCAGGGCTGAGAGTCGCTCCTCCAGCAGAGCAGCTCCTAAACCAGCACAAAACTCCTCTCATTAATCAGTTCTTCAAAAACAACTAAACCAAGGGGCAGCAAACAGCCACACCAAAGTGTTTTCATGCAGTGATTGTGCTCTGTAACTAGGGAGGAGAGCGTGATAGGACACACACAACCAGCTCCCACTACCCAGGATTGGCCTCACATCGGGGAAAATCCCCCAGCACCTACAAAAGGCCCTGCTGGTTGTGGTGGGGCCAAAATTTGCCCATGGACTCTGTTCTTCCTGCAAATGCCCCTGGGCCTGGGAGGGTGTCAACCCAGGACAGAGGGGATGTTGGGAACAGCTGGGAACAGTTCTCTACCTCTCCTGAGGTCGTCCTTGTCCTGCTCCAGCCTGGCCACAGCCTTGGAATACTCCTTTTCCTTGGCTTTCAAGCTCTGCTCAGCCTTCTTCTGCTGCTCTGCTTGGGTGTCCTTCTCTACCTGCAGCTTCCTGGAAAAGTCCTCAATCTGTTTCTGCAGCTTCTTCTTCTGTTTGCCCATCTCTTCCAGCTCAGCCTTCACGGGGTTCACCTGCTGCAGCAGCTCCTGGAGGTGTTTGTTGATCCGGGAGAGGTCCTTGCTCTGCTCCGAGGCCCAGTAGCTCATGTCTGTTGCAGAGAGGTTCCTTCTCCCGGCACTGTCCTCCAGCACCTCCTGGAATTTGCTGAGAGCTGAAGGGATGTTCTGGCTCTGGCAGATGCTGGTGATGGCTCTGCCCACCTCGCGGAGGCTGGCCTGGGCGCCGGAGCAGGTGTCACAGGAGCCCAGGGGTGACCCCGGCGTCTGCGTGGGGACACTGCGGGTGCTCGGAGCCAGGCTGGGGCCAGCCCTGGGCTGCACACTCGGATTTGGGCACACAGAAGTCGGCTGGGCAGCCTCCGGGGGAGTTCCTGGCTCCAAAACTTCTGGCAAGCATTTCAGGTGCTCCTGATATTTCCCAGCCTGGGGAGCAGAGGGTGGAGTGGATTGCTGTGTGGGGATCTCCCACCTGCAACCCTTCTCCCGAAGGAGAGAACACAGAACAAAACCAGAGCCCAGATCAAAGTGGAAATGACCCATAAAAGCCTAAATCAGGTGTGGTGATAGGACAGCAATGCAGCCAAGGGACAGTGACCACGGGGAAGCCTCAGCAGCAAAACCTACTCCCCAACTCCCCACCATCCCTTCTGTCCCACCCCCTGCACTGCCTACTGGTTTTGCCACATGGATTGTTGTGAGACTCTTCCTTGAGAAAGATCATTTTGGGGAAAATAAAATGCAGGAGAGGTTGTTTTTACCACCAATTATTTCACTGTCTTGAGTCAGCTCAGATCCACAGTGGGATCAGCAGAACTGCAGCATTTTGGCAGTAGGAGAATGTTTTCCAAGCCCTAGACACAGCCCAGCTCCAGAGATCCTGGAGCAGGACGGATGCAGTGGCAGAGCTGGGAGGGGCGGAGGGAAGGGACTCAGGCTGGGAGGGGACAGATGTGTGACACAGGGGCCAGCACTCAGAGGGTGCACGCACATCTGGCGTGGCCTCAGGGTGTTGAGAAGGACCACGATCCAAATCCGGGGGGGGGAGAGGGGAGTGACTCAGCTCATGGGACGTCCCCAAATGTCCCACCTGGTCGCGGAGCCGCTGGCAGAAGGCCCCGAGTTTCAGCATGGCGCTCCAGAAGGTCCTGGCCGTGAGCCCCGCGGACATGCAGGGCCCCGGGCCCCGCGCCGGCGGCACCGCCCGCCCGCTCAGCACCGCGTCCGCGTAGCCCGTGAAGCTCTGCAGCAGCAGCAGCAGCCTGTCCCGACGGGAAAACACGGCCTGGAGCTGGGGATGCCGGCTGGGGCAGGGAGGGCGGCCCGCTCCCATCACCCGGACAAAGCGGTGGGATGCAGGAGGGTGGGATTGCTGCTCCCGGGATTGCCCCGGCGTGGATCACTTCATGGAGCAGCCACTCCGAGAGGCTGTCATTAAGCCCCCCCAAAGATTTGGGGCACCCGTGCTGCTGCAAATCCTGACTTTTAGGGCCAACAGCTCAGTGGGAATGGCTTGTCTTTTAAACCAGAGCTGTATTTATTTCACCCAGACTGCAAAAGGGGCTTTGGCCTGCCAGGGCTGTGTCCGAGTGTTTCCAAGGTTTTGGGAGGCAGTTTACCGCTCCCATCACCCGGACAAAGCGGTGGGATGCAGGAGGGTGGGATTGCTGCTCCCGGGATTGCCCCGGCGTGGATCACTTCATGGAGCAGCCACTCCGAGAGGCTGTCATTAAGCCCCCCCAAAGATTTGGGGCACCCGTGCTGCTGCAAATCCTGACTTTTAGGGCCAACAGCTCAGTGGGAATGGCTTGTTTTTTAAACCAGAGCTGTATTTATTTCACCCAGACTGCAAAAGGGGCTTTGGCCTGCCCGGGCTGTCGATGCAGCTGTGTCCGAGTGTTTCCAAGGTTTTGGGAGGCAGTTTAACAAGCCTGTCCCATCTGCTCCACCTCTGGCTCGGCTTCTTTGTGGCCAGTTTGTGCTGGGAGCTCTAAGCAGGGAAAGGAGTTGGGTTTTAAAGCTCAGCAGGGCATAAGGCCATGTTGCTGTCACTGCTCATCATGGAAATAGTTGGGGAACAAAGCACCCAAAAGACTTCATAAAATCAGGGGATATCCTGAGCTGGAAGGGACCCACGGATCATCCAGTCCAACTCCTGGCCCTTCACAGACACCCCAACAAACCCACCCTGTGCCTGAGAGCATTGGCCAAAGGCTCCTGGAGCTCTGGCAGCCTCGGGGCCGTGATGTGGCACTTGGTGCCATGGTTTTATTGATAAGGTGGTGTTATGTCAGAAGTTGCACTTGATTATCTCCAAGGTTTTTTTCCAACCCAGCTGATTCTGTGATCATTCCCTGGGGAACTTGTTCAGTGCCTGAGCACCCTCTGGGGGAAGAACCTTTTCCTGATATCCAGCCCAAACCTCCCTGGCACAGCTCCAGCCGTTCGTTGAATCCCATCCCTGGTCACAGAGATCAGAGCTGTCCCCAGGGAGGAGCTGCAGCCCCGCTGAGATCAGACTCAGTCTTCTCTGTTCCAGCTGAACAGACCAGGTGCTCTCACCCTCAACCCTGCCACCCTGTCAGCCCTCATCTGGATGCTCTCTAACAGCTTTGAGTTCTCTCTGATCTGAAGTGCCCGAAACCTTCGCCGGGATGAGGATAAGCTCAGACGCACAGCTGCCCTTCCCCGCGGTGCCTCTCACCTGTCTATGAGCAGCTCCAGCAGCACCACGTGTGCGTGCTGGCTGAACTCGGGCTCGCTGTCGCTGTGCCTGTAGCGCTGCAGCAGCGCCGCAATGTCCAGCTCGCAGGACAGCTTGTCGGGGAACTTCCAGGAGGGAAAGTGCACGGCGCCGGCCCGGGAGCACACGTCGGCGATGGCGGCCTGCAGGTCCCGCAGGTCGGCCTGCAGGCTCTCCATGCAGCCGCGGTGGCCCAGGAGGTGCGCCATGGTGCGGGGGGGACACGGCCCGGGAACAACGGGGCCACAAGGTCACCGAGCCTGGGAGGGAGGGGACGCCCTACCGGGACAGGCTGCTGGAGACGGACCGGCACGGTAGCTCCCGGGCCCGGCGGTCTCCAGGAGTGCTGGGGAACCGGAGGCAACCGGGGGGATCGGAGGAATCAGCAGCAACCGCGGAGAAGAAGCGCGGGGCCCGGGAGCTGCGCTAGGCCTCGGCGTCCCAGCCCTGTCGCCATGGCAACTACGCCCCTCCCGCGCCACAGTGGTGCATTCCTACTTTGGGCGCCCCCCCCACGGGACTCTAATGGTACATCCCACAGCGGGCGCGCGCGCCCTGTGCCCACCCACTTCCCGCCAATCTGGGCCTGCGCCCCCGCCGGCGTTGCGTCACTTCCGGCGCGCACGCGCGGCACGGTGCCCGCCGCCGCCATTTCGCCCCCGTCGGTGCCGGCGCCGCGGCTGCTCCGGACCGAGCCTCGCCCGCCCCTCGATCGGCCCCGCCCGGCGCGGAGCCCCCGGCCCCGGCAGCGCCATGCCCGCCGGACCCGTGCAAGCTGTGCCTCCGGCGCAGCCCGCGCCCCCCGCCGAGAGCAAACCGGTGAGGGAGGGGAGGGGAGCGGGGAATGGCGCGAACCGCGGGGGTGTGCGAGTGGGGCCCTCACGGACCGGGCTGGGCTTGGGGGCGCTGCGGTTTCGTCCGGAGCGCTGCATTGACCCCTGTGCCCCGCTCGGGTGAGAGCCCACCTGGGCTGGAGCTCCTCTGCTCTGGAGCCAGGCTGGAGAGCTGGGGGTGCTCACCTGGAGAGGAGAAGGCTCCAGGGAGAGCTCAGAGCCCCTTGCAGGGCCTGAAGGGGCTCCAGGAGAGCTGCAGAGGGACTGGGGACAAGGGATGGAGGGACAGGACACAGGGAATGGCTTCCCACTGCCAGAGGGCAGGGATGGATGGGATATTGGGAATTAGGAATTGCTCCCTGGGAGGGTGGGCAGGCCCTGGCACAGGGGGCCCAGAGCAGCTGTGGCTGCCCCTGGATCCCTGGCAGTGCCCAAGGCCCGGAGCCTGGGGCAGTGGGAGGTGTCCCTGCCCATGGCAGGGGTGGGATGAGATGAGCTCTAGGTTGCCCTCCCGCCCAAACCATTCCAGGATTCCTTGGAGACAGCAGGATCCTGCTGGGGCTGGGCAGGAGCTGAGCCCTTCCCTGGCAGTGTCCCGGGGCTGTGGTTGCAGTGAGTGTGGGATGCCAGGAGCTGGGGGAGCTGCCCTGGCTCCAGGAATGGTTTGTGGAAGGATTAAAAGTCTGAAGAAGCGTGGCAGGGCTGGGTGTCCCAGCACCCTCTCAAATCCTTTCTCTCTTGGCCATATTCATGTTCTTTGCAGCCAGAGGTGGGAATATTCATTCCTCATGTATTCCTGGGGTGGGATACAGCTCCCACAGAGCTGGAGCTGCTGTCCTGACTCTTACACAGCAGCATCAGCAACCTTGGAGCTGACAGGGAGCTGCTCTCACTGAGAAACTTTGAAAATTGTGATTCTCCCCCAAAAACCCAGTGACTTTTATGCAGAGATGTTACCAAGGCAACTCAGCATCACTGTTAAATAAAATATTTCAAGTGTGTTGTTGCCCCATCCTTCAGCTCCTCAAGATGGTGTTCTGAGGGAGTGGGAATAAAAACTAGAAGTGTTCCTGGTGCCTTTCTCTTGACAGACTTTGTTAGGGTTGTGTTTTATGGAATGGTTTGCAGTGGGAGGGACCTTAAAGCCCATCCCATTCCACCCCTGCCAGGACAGGGACACCTTCCACCATCCCAGGCTGCTCCAAGCCCTGTCCAGCCTGGCCTTGGGCACTGCCAGGGACCAGTTTGACCTGAGAACATTTTCTGGCTTGGATTTTCCATGGATTTGGCAGAGCTGGGAGCTCTGCCTGGATTTTAAGTTATCCCTGACCATCCCTGTTAGGATTATAAACATTTCCAGCAGATCTGTCCTGGTTTATAACACCTTTTCTTGGAAGCTGCCTAGCAGCATCTTTAGTATCCTGCAAAAGCAGCTCCTGCTACTGGAACACAGAGCTATCCACAGGGAGGCTTCTGGGAGTTTAGTTTGGCTCCTCCTGTAACATCAGTGAGGAAAAAACACTGTTGGAAATTTTCTCTTCAAAACAGCTTCTCTTGCAACTACAGTGGCATTAAAAGCTGTGACTTTTTAATGTGGAGTTGGTAATTCAGGTCCCACAGGCCCCTAGGAAGGTTCAGAACTTCCACAGCTGGTGAGGAATGATGAGTTATTCCTGGAAATGTTACTGGAAACTCCTGGCTCCGCGTTTAAAAACAGCCTTGGGGTCGAGGCTGGTACAGTGAAAGTTGTTGTGGTTCCCATGGGGGCACCCTCCCTGTCCTGCTGCCCCTGCTCCTGCAGCAGGTGCCCCTGAGAAGCCAAGGGATTGGTGGGATGGATGATCCAGATTCTTCAACCCTTCAGTGACTGAGGGGCTGAGGAGGAGGATGGATAAAGGTTCCTGTGTGCCTTTGGGAGTGTGTTTGGGATGCCTGATCCTGACTCCCCTTCACCTTTTGCAACGAAACTCTTTATTACAGCCAGAGGAGGAGCCTAAAGAGGAAGCAGCACCAGCCAAGCCTGTGGTGGGAATTATTTACCCTCCTCCAGAGGTCAGGAATATCGTGGACAAGACTGCCAGCTTTGTAGCCAGGTAAGTGGCACTGCTGGTGTCTCTCTCTCCTGGGGTTTTCATGCTTCTGCTGTTCAGTGCAGCTCTAGAAGCTGAAGCAGGTCCCA